GTCCTATGTTAGGTCCTGATGATGGGTGTAAAAAAAGAAGGGTATAAAATAATCTCCCTTATTTCAGGAGATTTATAATTCCCCGGGGGTCGTAAGGGGCAGCAAAGGATGGTGATCTAATTCAGGGTGTTTGCAGCAGCACTGGTAAGGTGCCAACCACATGCGACAGAAGTTAAGAGGGAGAAGAGCTGAAGAAAGATGACAAGGACTCAGGTTGGGCTTGGGGACTTTGAGGTGTCTTGGAGGTAGAAGGATGGATATGTCAAACAGGCAGTTGTAACTGGGATCACAATAAAAGGGAGCTCTGAAGGTCAGCCAGGTTCATTTTGGAGTCCTCATCGCAGTGATGAGAACCGAATCCACAGGAATGGCGGAGGCTGCTCAGAGAGACTCTCCATAAAGGAAAGGGCTGGAGGCAGAACCAGCTGGCAGTCTCAGCGGTGCAGTCAGAAGCCTGGGGCAAGAGCCTGCAGTGTTGGTGGCTGGTGTGGAAATAGAGCCAACAGGTATAGGCCGCTTTTTCCTAAAGTAGGAACTGTAGGAATTGGAGGAGGAAGGAGGGGTGGGAGAAGGGCTCTGCTTTCCCTGATGGACTAGAGTCAGCTTCATGGGGTAGCGCTGCCGCCAGAACTCTGCTCAGCTGTGGATCATTACAGCTGCATGCTCTGCTCTGCCCCATCTTGAGCCAACAGGAGCCACCCCATATCTGTCCTGGGAGCTGGAGCATCACGCTCAGTCATCCTGGTTAACTCACATTGGGTATAGTCTCCACCAGCGGGGAGACCCTAGGCCTGAACCTGTCTTGTTGGTAGGGGCTGTGGCCTCTGACCCAGACCCGAGTCAGCATCCTCTATCCCTTACATGAACTCCCTGTCCATGAGGATTGCTGTCACCCAGCAGGTCCCAGCACAGCTTGTCACTCGATCATCTCAGCTGGCTCTGTCCTCCTGCCTTCACCATCTGGACCACTGGTCCTTCCCAGAGTTGGCTAATCCTTCAGCCTCGGGTATAGCCCCGGCCCGTCTCCATGCAGCTGTTGGCTCTCCCCTTCTCCACACCGTGGGATTCACAGTGGACTGTGCGGCTGAGCCTGTGCATGTACAGCAGGAGGAGGATGGAGGTGGGGGGAGCCGGAGAGAGGGGGGTAGTCAATGGTGCAGGGTCCCTGAGAAGCCAGTGAGAAGGAGCTCTGTGCAAGGGTTTGACTCATTAAAGAAAGGAATATGTCTTCCCCTGAGATAAAATTAAAAAGCGCTAACAACATAAAAAATCCTCAAGCTATGTCAGGCAGGCTCTTCACTAAGGGTTTGTATTATTATATTTAATACTCGTACTGGCACTACACAGAGACCCTAATATCATCCCCAATTTGCAGATTAAAAAGCTGAGCCTGGAGCAGCTAGATCACCTGTCCACGATCTCACAGGTGACAAGTGACAGATGGGGCTGTAGTTACGGCCTGACTCTAAGTCCTGCCCTCCCATCTCCCCTGGGAAGTGTGGGTTAGTGAAGACAGCGTCTGAGCCGTAGGGAGCAGAAGTTGGGGAGTGAATGTGGAGTGTCTCCAGGTCGTAAAGGAGAGGAAGTGAGGTCAGCCCTGGAGACTGTGTAGGGGCTTAGTCATCCTTGCAGAACTTACGGAGAGTGGAAGAGGGTTGGAACGGCCGCTGTGGGACAGTCAAGGGAGTTGAGAGCTCGACTGAGAGGAATTCTGGACGGCAGCAGGGCCCAGCTGGGGCTGGTGATGTGAATTTTGTGGTGGAACAATAAATGCAGTTTTATGAGTTTCTCCAGCAACCTTTCGCCGCCCACGTACGTGGGACCACAGAAGAGAGGCGGAGGCCTTTCGCTCCCTCCTTAGGACTCAACGCTTGATTACAGGCCCGGAAGAGCAACATCATGTGCCGATGCTCCGAGCCATCTGCAGAGAAGGGATAATGGGATCCCAGGGGGCCAGGGATGGGCCAGGTGGGAATGATGGAGGCTGGCGATGGGAGAGGAGAGAGCTGGCTGCTGAAGGACTGACCGTGAGGAGGCCTGTAAAATCAGCATGGGGCCCTGGAGAATTGAAAGGGGCTTCTAGGCTGAAGTGAAAAGAAGCTGTTTGCAAAAATACACACACTGATGTTCACACATTACAGCAGCCTGGGAAACAGCCGCTTCCCTCTCATGCAGGGTGAGTAATAATTTGTGTCAGGCAAGAATAAAGGAATGCTGATTTCATTCTGTTTACTACCAATGAAAATTGGGGGCTGGATGGGATGGTAAAGCGCTGGCCCGGGTAAAAGCGTGGTTGCTTGCTAACGAGCTTGTACTGCAACTGCGCTCTGCTGTCCAAAGCAGCACCCTCAGGAGAAAAGAAATAAAGTCATTTTTCTTCAGAGGCAGAAGATTCAACATTGCTTAACAATAACACTTAACATCTTAGCCCTTAGCCTTAGGCCATCTCCTAACTACTGAGTGCTAGGCACTGTCTCCTTCCTGGGCCAGCTGGGGCACTGGCCTTATTTTGTGAAGTGTCATTTAGCCTGCATGGGCCTGCTCTAAAGATGACAGAGTTCCCTGAAAGCATAGCAGGGTGCCCTTCGACTGACCGGGGCTCCCACCAGCTCCATGCGCTGGGGGCATTTTCTGTCTGCATCGATGGCTCCCAATTTGGCATATAAGTCAACACTGTTGAGTTTATCTTAGAAACCGCTGTGGTGCTCTCCACCAACAGAGGAGCCCAATCAGTCAGCAGCATAATAAGTCCCCTGTAAGGTTGGCCACCGACTCCTATCCTATAGATAGCATTATTGTTATTTTTAATTAAAAATTTAACTCCATAAATATTTGAAAGCTCCCTGCCTCTGTGACGAAGAGGGGGAGCCGGTGCCTACAGAGATGTGCCCGCCTCACTCTCCTGGCAAAGGGAGGGAGCAGTGGGGCTGCTGTAATTCAATTAAACGGCCAGTAAAATCTCCGGGGGTGGGGAGACTAGAAAACCAGGCTAATGTCGCCCACACACCGAGCCGAGTCTGAAGCCCTTCCCGGAAGCCAGCAGTGTGCCTGCCTCTGCCTTCTGCACCTCATGGGTGAATATGGAACCCCGCATGGACCAGAGCACACTGAGGAGGGCGCTTTGCATCTCCCCTTTAGAAACTGAGATGGAGCCTCAAGTCTGAGCCCCCTCCCCATTGAAAAACCAGTGCCAGGGGCTCTCACACATTTGTCTGAGCCCTAGTTCACCTCCAACGTGGCTGCTTCTGGTTGCCAGGTAGCTGCAAAGGTCTGTTTGCACGAGGAGTAATCACTCCTTCTGTTGTTGCATGTGTGAGTGGACCGTTGGTCAAAATTGTTTTCCGTCTAAGATGCTTCCCTTTCAACTACAGTTGTATTCCCGGGCTGGCGGGGTTTTGTCGATTCATATATTGTGATGATGGCTCCAGAGCTACAACATGAATGTACTGCCTTTGTCAGAAAACTCTCTTTGCACTGTTTAATCCTAAAATAGAGTCGTTTAGAGTCAGCTGTGATTGAGTATTTCAGGGCTTATTAGTAAAAATAAACAGGAGTTGGAAATCCAGAGGCCTTTACGCTATAAATGCTAATCTCAGCATCTGTTGCACTGTCATAAAGAGGTGATTTCCCATCTCTGCACTAGAGAGTTGAGTCCTGAGGATGGGCTGGCACTGCGTCTCCAGTCTGCATAGTGCCAGGGCCTGCCACACAGATGATCAATAGATATATGGGGAATGAATGAATGACTGAAATTTATAGAATTTTCGATGTTTTGATGTGCTTATGATTTGCATAAAAAAACCCATTTCCGAAGTCTGAGTGCAAGCTGGCCAGGAAGACGTGAAACTGTTTCCAGTTTTCCTTTTTTCTTCCCTCTCTGAAGAACATACTACTTCCCATCTGCCTTAACCACAATTTCCATACACTTCAACATTGGAAGCCAGAAACTTTATATTTAAAAGAAATTTTGGAGACTACTTCCATTTTTTCAAATAAAAACAAAATTCTAGGCCAGGGAAAAATAGGGACAGGAAAGAAATGAAGGATGAGAAAAACTATGAGACATCATATAAAAAAAGAAACCAGGGAGATAAATAAAATACAGTTGTGTATTTAGCGTGTAGGTCCACACCCAGGATCTGAACCAGGGAACCGGGGTCTCCGAAATGGAACGTGAGAACTTAACCGCAGGCCCCTCCCCTTCTCTTTAAAAGGAGACATTCCATAATGTTTCAGTTTTCTAGCTGGCATTCACGGTTTTTTGGCGTTCTTCGTTTTTTGTTTTTTATTCCAAACTCACTAATTCTCACACTCCTGACTCATTTAACCCCCCTACTCTCTCCACTGTACGTGATCTTGGAAAGCCTTCCTCTTTGTCATGAGCTACCCATCGCAGATAAAATTACTCTTCATCTCACAGATAAGAGCACTGTGTCTCATTTTCAGGGGTGTCTCGTTACAGCATCAGCGGATAGTGGTAGGCCAGAATCTCCAAGCCTTTTCCCGCGCGGCTGCTCTGCCTGCAGTTTCTGTGCCTCATAGCCATATTTGCTCATGGCCTAGAGAACACGGTCAGATTCTAAATCAAGCCAAGAACACTTTCCCAGGCTCACATTTCTCTCCTGCTTTTTAACACCCGCACGAAGCCCCAAGGTTAAGCTTGGCTCGCCCTTCCTCGCGGGTAACTCCTAGGACAGAGGATTTGCTATTTTATTGTCTCTAAGCTTGGTGCAGGATGTTCAATACCACTTTTATAGCAATGGCTTAGGATTTCCATTCATGATCCAATATTCTTGCTGACATGTTCAATTGCAATGATATACTATTTTCTTCCCTTAAAAAATAACCCACAAGTGTTCAATTATGAGCACGGTTCTGAAGATGGCAATAGGGTTGCAGCAGATTATACCGTGGTCCCTATTTCAATGCCAGAGTTCTATTTCATGTAGATCCTCTTTATCTGGGGTGAGCTGGGGATGGGAGAGCCCTCAGTGACCTACCTGGGTAGGGATGCGTACTGTCTCTCCATCCCCTCAAAGCGGAGGTTGTGTGCGCTCCCATCTGGACCCATTCCAGACACCTGTGGAGAGAGAAGTAATTAGAGATGAAGATCCGTTATACACCCTGGGTACTGACAATGCATCTCAAAATTATAATCAGCGCACAAATGCTGGGGCTGCCTGCCAAAAATCCACCGTGGAAGAGCATGCAGCACCCAGGATCGCCGTAGGAATGGATGATCAAGCCACAAACACAGCGTTTAACAACAAAGTCACTTCTTTCAAAAAAAGGTCATTGTCAAACTGACTCCTTCCTGTCACTACACCAGGGATGTTCTGTAGGCTGTGAGACTGCTTTTTTTTCTTTTTAAACAGCGTTTAGTTTCTAGAATTGTTCTAGTCTTACAGAACCATTGAGAAGATAGTACAGAGAGTTCCACATAGCCTGAACCCAGTCTCCCTATTGCTAACACCTCATGTTAGGGAGGTCCATTTCTTACAATTAATGAATCACTCTTGATATACTGTTGTTAACTAAAGCCATAGTTTATTCAAAGTTCTACCTAATGTCTTTTTCTGTTCCAGGATCCCATATACATTCATGCATCACGTCTCCTGAGGCTCCTCCTGGCTGTAAGGAAGACCGTATCTTTAAAACTCCCTTTTCCATGAAAGCTTTCTTTACCAACGGGGCTTGGTGACAGGCAACTCTCTCCTGCACAGCTTCCATGAAGCCCTCCCCCACCCAGACCTCCCATGGTTCCCTCCCTTACGCACGACCACAGAGGAGTGATGGACCGTTCTCTATCTGGGGCTGGTCTGTGTTATTTTTTGTCCCTTCTTATGCACCTCCTGTGTTCATCTCTCTTTGGGTCTCTTCCATTAGCCTCTGAGATTCTGAAGGGCAGTGTCTGGCCCCAGTATGTTCTCAGTAAAGTGTGTTAGTTTCATGAATGTAAAGACTTTGTATATAGTCCTTCTGTATCTATCACACCAACCAAAACCAGGATGAACACATACATCCTGTTCGCGTCACCTGAACACAGCCTGTTCTCGCCAACATGAGGTTTTGTGGACCACTCATGTGCTTGCTCGTGTGCTGGGGTAGTCCTCACATAATGGGCATGGGAAGGGTAAATAAAAAACCTGGACCCTCATAATGCGGGGCAGGGAGAGTTTCCCAGTAAACACGGTGTCAGTAAGGGAATTTTTTCTAGGTAGTACCCAACCTGCAAGTTATTTTCTTCCTTCCAAATATCCCAGCTTTCTAGAAAACCGCCATCTGGGCTTGGGCGGTGTGTGTAGGGAGGGTTTTCTGGGGGAGGTGTTGCAAAGCAAGTAGATATGCTCTTTTAGAGTAAGAAAGACTATTCCTGGCATTGAATCATTACAGGAGGCCCTTCAGAGAGTGTCCTGCAAACCCCTTTATAGTTCCCCAATATGGCTGGCGATACTTGAAAGGGCAACAGCCCAGGGAGCTACCTAGGTAAGCGTGAAGATGGCACACACAAATTTCAAGGCAACTGCAGAGAGACTGAGAATCCCCTGCATTAGGAAAAAAGCCTCGATTTAAACCACTGACCTTTCTAACAAAGAGCCCAGGCCAGGATGGCGTCAGATAGGGGATGAGTAAAAGGCACGGAAGAAGAAGTGAAGGATAGAAGCACTGACCTCCGCTACTCCAATTTAAGGTTTGTTTTGTTTGTTTTTAGCCTATTTTTTATGGAGGAAGAATTAACATGATTACCAGAAGGACGCTGAAGATGATTAATTGTGGTTGTTGGAAAAACATTATGCTTATGTACTCTAGCACAGCTCTAGACGTCTACAACTAACCTTCTTCTTGTGGCCACCAAACTGCATGTGAAGACTTGGAGCTCTCTTATCTAGAACTGGCCTGGCCTAATGACAGCAGTCAACGTTCTGGTTCCTCTAGAGGTAGCACCTATATGCTTGTTGTTCTTCTGGTGGGCTACCAGCACACTAGATTCTCTGAGATGTGGGATGATCCTTAACGTCATGGAACGTTCATCAGAAATGAAGTAATTCAAGAGTGATGTACGACAAGGTATGGTCAGTGCCATTCAGGATGTTACTAACAGCACAGATGACACCGGAAGTGTTAGCAAAAACTTCATGGGAGCAGCAGCACGTAGGGATGGTGGCATGCTGTCACATCCACAATTATTCTGTTCTTCACTGTGTACGGATTGATGTGCTTCTTCATTACTAGTGTGACATCTTTAACGCAATCACCCAATCAGTGACTACTGAGCACCTGCTGTATGCAAATACCAGGCTAGGTACTACGTTCACACCAATGAACAGAACTGGATTTCTTCACTGCTACGAATATAGAGGAGGCAGGCCTGCAAACAATTATGGCCCAATGAGGTCACTGCTCGATTGTGAGTCTGAGGAAGGAGGCATGGGAGTCTGAAGGGATAGATCCCAAAGTCCACCTGGGAGAGTTGAAGACAGCTTCACATGGGTGTTGAAGCTTCATCTAAAACTTTAATATGGATGAGGAGGAGGTTTTTAGGGGGAGAATGCTGTGAGAGTATTAGGGGAAGGCATTCTAAGCAGAGAGAACAAAAGTGAAACAACATGGAGGCATGAGAAAAGACGGTTTTCAGGGCATGTCAAAATTTTGGTAAAGGAAGAAACAGGCTATGAGGAAAAGGCTGTTAGTAACAGTAGTGACAGCACCCCTGGTGTTACTACTATAGTACAACTGCTATTGCCACTACTGCAACTTTTTTTTAATGGACTTTATTTTTCAGAACAGTTTTAGGTTCACAGCAAAATTGAGAGGAAAGTACAGGGGTTTCCCATATACCCCCTACCCTTACACATGCACAGCTTCCCCATTATCAACATCCCCCAACGGGTGGTACATTTGTTACAATTTGTGAAGCTACATTGACCCATGATAATCACCCAAAGTCCATGGTTTACGTTAGGGGTCACTCTTGGTGCTGTGCAATCTTTGGGTTTGGACAAACGTATGATGACTTCTACCCACCATTGTAGTACAATACAGAGAATTTTTGCTGCTCTAAAAATCCTCTGTGCTCCACCTATTCACCCCTCCCCTCCCCCAATTCTTGGCGACTATTGATCATTTTAGTGTCTCCATAGTTATGACTTTTCCAGACGTCATGCACTTGGAATCATACAGTATATTTTTATATTGGCTTCTTTTGATTAGCAATATGCATGTAAGTTTCTCCCATGTCTTTTGATGGCTTGATAGCTTATTTCTTTTTAGTGCTGAATAACATTCCATTGTCTGGATGTACCACAGTTTATTTATCCATTCACCTACCGAAGGACATCTTGGTGGCTTCCAAGTTTTGGCAATGATGAATAAAGTTGCTATAAACATCGATGTACAGGTTTTTTGTGTGCATAAGTTTTCAGTCCTTAGGGTAAGTACCAAGGAGCACGATTTCTGGGTCGTATGGTGAGAGTATGTTCAGTCTGGTAAGAAACCGCCAAATTATTTTCCAAAGTGACTATACCATTTAGCATTCCCACAAGCACTGAATGAGAGTTCTTATTGTTCCATATCCTCACCAGCACTTGGTGTTGTCAGTGTTCCAGATTTTGGCCATTCCAATAGGTATAGAGTAATTGTTTTAATTTATATCTCCCTGATGACATATGATTTGGAGTATTTTTTCATATGCTTATTTACCACCTGTTTATCTTCTTTGGTGAGGTGTCTGTTAAGGTCTTTTGCCCATTTTTTAATTGGGCTGTTTCTTTTCTTATTATGAGGTTTTAAGAAGTTTTTGTATATTTTGGATAATAGTCCTTTATCAGATATGTCTTTTGCAAATATTTTCTCCTAATCTGTGACTTGTCTTTTCATTCTCTTGATAGAGCTTTCGCAGAGCAGAAGTTTTTAATTTTAATGAACTCCAGCTTATCAATCTTTCTCTCATGGGTCATGCCTTTGGTTTCCTATCTAAAAAGTCATTGTCAAACCCAAGGTCATCTAGATTTTCTCCTATCTTCTAGGAGTTTCAGTTTTTCCTTTTACATTTAGGTCTGTGATCCATTTTTAGTCAGCTTTTGTGAAGGGTGTAGGTCTGTGTCTAGATTCATTTTTTTGCATGTGGGTGCCCAGTTGTTCCAGCACCATTTGTTGAAAAGACAACCTTTGCTCCATTGTATTGGAGCAAAAGACAACCTTTGCACCTCTGTTAAAGATCAGTTGATTATATTTATCTGGGTCAATTTCCGGGCTCCCTATTCTCTTCCATTGATCTATTTGTCTATTCTCTCACCAACAGCACGCTGTCTTGATTACTGTAGCTTTATAGTAAGACTTGAAATCAGGTAGTGTCAGTCCTCCAACTTTGTTCTCCTTCAATATTGTGTTGGCTATTGTGGGTCTTTTGCCTCTCCATATAAACTTTAGAATCAGCTTGTTGAGATTCTTTAGAATCAAAAAAATAACTTGCTGGTATTTTTATAGGGAGTGCATTGAATCCATAGATAAATTTGGGAAGAAGAGATCTGGACAATATTGAGTCTTCCTATCCAAGACCATGGACTCTCTCTCCTTTTATTTGGTTCTTCTTTGATCACTACTACCATTTAACATTTATTTGGTGCTTAGTATCTGCCAAGCACAATGCTAATGTTTTATTTGCATTGTCCCACTCAATCTTCCCAATAACCCCAATGGTTGACCCATTTTTCAGATGAGAAAACTAAGTAGTTGCCAAAAGTCATACAGCTAGTACATGGGAGATTTGAGACAAAGATGAGGTCTGCCTGACCCCAGAGTCCAAGCTCTGGAGACACAGACATGAACCAGATCTTGGAGGAGCTCATATGCCAGGCCAAGGAACTTGGTGTTACCCTTAGGTGATGGAGGAGCCATTGAGAAGTGCTACTTGATAAATGACAGGACAAATTTACAGGTTAGAGAGATTATTCTTGCCATAGTGTGGATGTTCCAGTGACAGTCTGAGCCAGAGATAGTAAAGGCCTAAACTAGAGGATATTCAAAAGGATGGAGACAAGGGAGTGACAAAAGGATGTTAAGGGGGCAGGTTTAGTAGGA